AGGTGCATTTTCTGGTGCAATTGCTTATTTGGAAGCAGGACTCTGGTGATGATGTACATTGCTGCCATGAAAGCACTAGTAATAGGACCCAGGTCTAAAACAATGATATTGTCACAGGGATTTTGATAAATGTGAAGGGTGGCTGAGAAACGACTCCAGCAGTGTTATCAGGAGCAAACAGAGAGGGACAAAGGGGCCCTTAAGCTTGGAGGGGCCTCATTAGTGGGTCCCCATGCTGCATGGCTGGGATTCAAAGCGCTGGATACAGTGTCTGATGTGGTTTGTTTACCCACATGTGTGCATTGTTTGTGCTGGTGCTCATAGATTGGTTGGAGGCAATTGTGTTTCTGTGTTTACACAATGATTTAAAATCTCTACTTCCAATAAACTTAACGGCTGATTGGTTTGACCTTGCAGACACAATGCATTCATTTTACCAACTAGCTGTGAAATACAACCTTCATCACACTGCATTCACAGCAACACCTGCTTATGATGTGAATAGTTTGAACTGAAATAAACACTAATAAATGAAAGACTTATTGCCTGATGTGGGAGTTCCTGTGAACGCTAAGTAAATGCCCTCTATATTTAAAGTCTAGACATGCACTTTTATCTTTGGCAGCTGTGTGATAACACCCTATGATGATATCTGTTTTGCTTCTAATTACAAATATTACACTGTTTCCATACAAATGAGTCTGATATAAAACTCTCTCTTCCAGTCTACGCATCCTTCGGGTTTTTTGATACCCAAATGAAATGGAGATAGAAAAGATTCTTTATCACAAAACCCCCCCTCTGGAAAAACGATCAGCAGCTGTCACACTCATTTGTGAAGCAGCCAATTATACCAATTTGACAGTTGTGCTCATTTTTTGAACAGATCCTGTTTCAAAGGGGCGGACATGGCGTTCTGCATACTCAGAACTTTTGGCCTATCCTGGTGGAGCGTTTCAGATTTCATGCCACCATCCTCTCCTCCATTTTCTGTCGCACCCTTAATCTCTCACACCTCTCTCTCTCTGTCTCTTTCTTTCCATCCCATCCCCTTCCATTGTGAATCAGAATTGAAACAAACAAGTTGGATGCTCACTGGACTGAATGTGTTGCCTCGACAACTGAGGGACAGGCCTGGGGAGTCTGGTGCTGGTTGAGAGATTGGAGAAAAGTGAGGAGGTGGATGTGTGTGTGTGCGAGCATGTGTGTGTGTGTGTGTTTAAAAACTCCCATTGGGCCCCCTGGCTGGCGAGGACTGACTGCTGAGTGGGCTGACTGGCACATCGACGAATCCCTGCCCAACCTGCGCCTGCTCCTCTCTCCTCTTCCTCCCGCGCGGTGTAATGCTGTAGGCACGTCCTGCTCCGGGTCCACTTCAGCTGCATAAACACATTGGGATGGTGTAACGGTCATCCAACATACACAGTACAAAAAAAAGACAAGCACACAAAGACATTGTTGGCAACCACCTAATAGGATAACACACAATGATCCGGCTCTCCTTGTATAATTAGCTTGCAGGGAAATGAAGATAAGTTGACCTTAACATCCACCACTCTTACTAGCTGAGAAGATTAAGAAAATCAAAGCTTCGCCAACCTAAAATGTATTAAAGTGGGTCTTTTTTTTCACTGCTTTCATAACAGTCCATCGTGATTTATTTAATAACTGTAAATCCATTTTGCAGGAGAAGTCTTGGCTTTGAAAAGCACAGTCACGACAGTTTGACAGCGAGCCAGCATGCAGAGTACCCTTAAAACAACAGAAGCTAAATGGATTCAGTCATCACTTATGTTGTTGTTTATACTTGTGCTGGTCTAAATGTGACACTTGCCTTCAGTGTATTGAAGACAACCCTACAAAGCTAGTAAATAACTTGCCACAGAATATCTGCTAAAACTGCACTTTTATGTCATGAAAGACAACTAATAGCACTCAAAAAACACCAAGCCGTTAAAATGAAGAACAGAAGTAGAAACAGAAGAAATACAGCTTGCTTAGTGTTTGCTGCTAACAGGCACATCCCAGAATGATTCAACTCTGCAGCAGAGCTTGGTCATCTAGTTACTTCAAATGTAAAGTTGTATGTGTTGTTTACATGATTTATCTTAACACCTATTTGCACATGGAAGTTCCACTTTCAAATTAACCCTACCTCACTTAATTGTTTTCTTTTGTAATTCATGTTGCCAAAATTACCTGATTATTTATTCACTGAGTTTTAGAACTATAAAATAAACAATATAAATATATTGTTGTCAACCTAGCTTTTACTATAAGGGAGGTCTTCCATAAGAAACTTTATTTTGGTTATTTCAATTCAGATATGCCTCTCTGTGATGTCACATATTTTCACATGTTTTATGAGGCATTCGTTAGTTTCTAATCTCAGAATCAGTGAATTTGATCGCAGTTCTCTGGTCATGTTTGCTTATTTTGCCAGGCCACTGTAAATCAAATCTGATCAAACCACAGCGATACAGCTCTGATGAAGCAGATTAGCTGAGTGTTTGAGTGTACAATTCGCAATAATGAATGTCTAATTATGTCGTTTACTGGTAATTAGCTTTGTGTGTTGATTATTTGGTCATTAATTCCACATTTGATAAAGAAATTGCACATTTGTCTGTAAGCACAATTGGTCTTTAGCCAAATTCTGCATATACAAAGCACCACAAGCTCAGACTGATTGAAATCTCCCTCTCTCATTCACACACAGCAGCAGTCTCTGGCACAGAATCAACAGGGGTGTGCCGAACATCTTATCTCTGACCATTCAACAAACTGTAAACGAATAGCTCTCCTTACAAGGTGAAACATAATCTGAGCTGGACGATGTGCCTTATCTATCTGTCCTTTGTAACGAATAAAGCTCAAAAGTGTTTTTCCTTGTTTGTCCAGAGCATTTTCTTTCCTAGTGACCGTCTTTCCTTATCTCTCTCTAATGTATTCCAAATCCAACTGCAGACTTGCCAACCTCTCTGAGGGTTAGAACGTAAAATATGAACCAGTATTGTGCGCATAATGATGCATGGCTATACACACACCCATCACTTTAAGGACACATGGTTCAATAACTGTAATAATAGGTCATTCATTCATATTAGAACCAAGGTCATAAAAGAAGCCCCTTCACTTTCAGGCTCATTTCTAACACATTCAGTCCTTATGGCTGAAGGTCATTGTGTATCCCGCTCTATGGGGAGCTAATAAGCAAAGGGAGGGTGTGGGCCAGAATCCATCTCCATTAAATTAAAGGAGCCTGGTCCCACAAAGTGACCTCTACTTGCTATGATTTATTGCTCGAACACAGTAAATGAACATCAAGCACAAAGGACAACCAGTTAATGAAATCATTGGACCAACAGTTAAGTCGGTTCACAAGTGAATAGAGCTGTAATTGAATTGTAGAGAAGACACACTTTCCTTGCAGTGCTGTTGTGGGGCAGCTTATATATCCTTTGTCAAACTTATCATGGAGCTCTGTGTTTTTCATTTTAGAGGTTAGATGATTTGCTCAAATAAAACGCAACTTTATCAACCAGACACCATCTCACAAAGGTCTTCATCAATCTAACATGTGTTTTCCAGCTCAATATATGGACCGTTCATCCAAATAGATAAGTGGAACCTGAGTTATTGTCTACTAAAAAACAGGGGGTAGGGGTCACCTGACTGTATTATTTAATCCGTTATATAATATTGCAGTGTCATTTAAAAGGACGGCATAGGTGGGGACTCAGGACTGTTAGCAGGTCAGTTTCGGTCTATATTGTGAGCAGAGGGATTTAACCACCGTGCTATTTGAGAGGACCACCTCTTTGTGTTTTTGCACTTCTGCAACCAGCTTGGTCCGTGTTTTTCCCATTAAAGAGGAATGGCATTTCTCTTGTACTGGGTAAGAAGTAATTAAAAAAGGATGTATTCCATGCAGTCACTAGATGGCGCTCTTTGCTTGAACTGTTTTCCTCTGATCTTACTGCCTCTGGCATCGGGACAACTGTTGACTGATGTGGTTCTTTCAATCCGCTTGACTCATGTTCTTCACATCCATCAAATGAGAGAGATCTTAATCATCAACTCTGCAGCTGCTGAGTTGAGTCCAACAGCAGATTATCATAAAGGACAGCAACAGGCTAAATTGACCGCTGACCAACAAATCAAGAGCCTCTTTACCTATTTAGAAAGGGCCAAAAACACTGGAATTGCTTTGGATTTCAATAAAACCTTTAAAGAAAAAATACGGACCTTTTCATAATTTGAGAACTGATCCACTTGGGCTAAGCTTTAGCCTTTTATATACGTTTTAGGTTAGTAGAAAAGCTTTTAACTGCAAACATCCTTTTCCCCCTCACAATGGAGAGCAGGGGCGGACTGGGACTACAAATCAGCCCGGGACTCTCGACTGGCCCACTTCGGTACCGCCGGCCCACCGCGGTACAGCAAGTAAATACCGCTAGTAAATTGTCGACGGGGGTGGGGGGGGTGAATTACCGCAGAGGTAGACATTAAGGGTAAAATGCCACTGGCCCTCTGGAACAACACATTTGTTGCAATAGTAATTTATGCAATTTATTAACTACATTACTACTTGAATAATCAGTTCTTCCTCATTTTCCTCAATTGTTCATATTTGGTTTATTAAAATAATGATATTGTGGTCATTATTAAAAAATGTCTGCTATTATTATGAGTATTATTATTTGTATAAAGCGCTTTCTGCCTTCCTGTAATTAGGAGTTAGAAATGTAATGGCTATGTAATAGATTAGATTAGAACCTTCATTATCCTAAACTACTGGGACNTGGCCAGGGAAAAGAAAGTTTGGGGCTCTCTGCTGGAACTGCTACCTCCGCGACCCGACCACGGATAAGCGGGAGAAGATGGATGGATGGATGGATGGATGGATGAATGAAAAACAAGCCTTTTACAAGAAAGCTTAGCACTGAGAAAATCTATTTGTACGATGATGATTCGGCGAGGAATCTAAAGCTTCTCACAGCACCAGGCCCCAGCTAGACACACTGTTTAAAAACTTGTGTCGGTTTCATTTGTAACTGTCTTACCTTTTTGGCAGGGGGATTCCTGTTGTAGAAGTGTTGTTTATAAGAGTCCATCCAAACTTCTGCAGCTCGTACGGTATTCTGGAGGAAGTTGGGCCGGGCATAAGGGGCCTTCTTAGGGAACACATGGCCCACATGGGAGCAGGGGTGAATCTCCAGGCTGCCTCCACACATCCACACCTGAGGGGGTTTAACACAGGAAACCATTTCTTTATTTTTAACACTCAAAACGGTCATTTTGTGGTTAATAGCATCCTTAAGCAGATAACCAAACTCCAGAAGGGAGCTCATATTTATAGAGCCACTACAAAGTTAAATAATGAGAGAAAAAAATGGATGTCAACAGCGAACTCTAAAGGATATACTAGCATATATTTTATTCATTGATCTTTCAATATGGGCTCTTAGAATCGTGTAGATAGTCACGTAGTTTAATACAAATCAGCAGTTACACAGATATGGTGATCATTAACCAGGAAGTATTGTACTCTGTGAGATAAAAGGATGTGTGACACAATAACTGGTGAACTTTGACACTTACATTTACGAGTAGTTTTTATTACTTTGTCATTCAAGTTTGACCTACCTGACAATACTTACCAGGTGGTTTGCAAGTAGCTTTTTAATGATAGTAGTATAGAGAATTTGTGAAGTAGGTAAAATAACCAGTCCAAAATGGTTAAAGGAAAAACTCATAATATCATTTTAGAGGGAAATCAATAACAATACCCAAGCAGTTAAAGAAATATATTCCTGTGGTGGGTCTACATCCACAGATAGAGAATGATGTGTATAACTTTAACCTGTAACTCTGCAGTATGATATATTAAGCCCAGAGAAGCTAAAAGGAGTGTCATCTATATATGGATCTGAGAACACGGATGTGGATAAAAGGCACAAATCAGGGTGTAGCGACTGAGCTCACAATAGAGGCACAAAGGCTCTTCTGTCAGATTTATGAGGACAGGTGTCGAGCAGAAGATCAATGTGTGTCCTGTTGACTGAGTCAGAGGTTCCTCATGTCAGGGCAACATGGACGAAAGCTGATGATTTAAGGGCTGTTTAGAGGCCAAAGTAAACTTATTTCATTTTCAAAGGATTACAATTTGTGGTATAGCCGAAACAATGCGTTGACTGGGTCAGGGTGACTTGAACACTCAACTCAAAGATGTGTGACCCATAATGAGTATTAAAGAACTGAGGCATCTGTCGACATGAAGTGCAAAACTAGACCCCCACTTTAACAAGAGACGCACGTGAATTGCCGAAAATGTATTATGTTCGTTTCATTTGACTGTTAGTAGATGTATTAGTAAGACCCAGGACAGCTTGGTTATTGACTGTATTTATGTGCGTTAAAAAAAAAAAAACAGCAGGGAAGAAGAACATCAAGAACTTCCATGTGCTTTGTGATGTGTAACTTACATTCCTGTGAACTGAAGTCACTGTGGGATCTCAAGCAGTCAGCCCAAAAACGTTCATTGTCATTAGTTGGACTATTTAAATACACGCAAAGAGAGTAACACCACATTTTCAATAAGTCTGCTTGACGGGTGTTGATGTTGTGACAGATGCAATGCTAAAAAGGATAAACACAGCTCTTTAACTTCAACCTGGCAACATCAATCCAACCCTTTGCTTCTTGAGTCATGCATTTTAAAGCAGCTTGGATTTATAGGATACATTTGCATTGTATAATTGCAACATAGAAAAAACAAAAGATTGAAAGGTTGTTAAAACAGTATTTTCTAATACTTGGCTGAGCTATGTTCCTTTCACACAAAGCTAAATTATAATCATATATCCACGGCCAAGCAGCTGTACATGAGCGTCTCTACTGTCTTTATTCACTTGGCGCTATACCTTGCACCATATTTTTTTTAGCACTCGGGGTTGAAAAGCAATTCACTAAACATAAATGATGTATAGCAAAAAGTCCCAGAGAGAGGCATTTTTATATCCACATGAATAAACACATCACTCAGGGGAACAACCCATCCGTCTTCACACTGAAAGAACACACACTATAAATCATTCACCAGGAATCTACCTACCTACCTTTGCATGCTCCTGCTACAAGCTCACACATCATCCTAAAATCTGGGCCAGTTAGATTGACGCAAACAAGTGAAAAGCGACACGAACGTCACAACAACAGCCAATATCAGGGTGCAGTTTCAGGTGCCGCGGCTGACTGAGACCTGACACTGACACGTGTCCCACTCACACCAAATACCCACTGGCTGACAGCTGTGAGATGGATGAATCAAAGGATCTGTGGCATAGACTATGAAAAAAGGATTCTCTTTGTGAAATTAAATGTCAATCAACCTCATGGATGTCTGCTCTTCACCTCAACAACAAAGAATCTTAGTCAATGGATGTACTGTCAGAGTGGTTTTTCGTAACGGTGCAAATGAGATGAGTCACTCTTTCTCAACATTTTTAAAGGCCGTACTCTGGTCTCATATTGCTGCGCGGCTTTGTAATGGTAAAACAGGGACTCTGTGGTCACTGAAGGAGAGCTGGACTCACCCTGAAGGAGAGCTCCAGGTTTTCTCCCCCCCACACCTCCATGCCCATGTCATACGTGCCCAGATACTCAAAGTAGGCTTTGCTCACAGCGAATAATCCACCTGCCATTGTCGGAGACCTGGGAGAAACAGTGAAAATAATGCAATGTTATGATAGTTATTTTCATACGTTCCAACATTACCCATCCTCCTTTTTTAATCCAATGCAAATGTAGTTTCTCAACGGTCTAATATCTAATGCTGCATTAAGACGATAAGAAGTGGCTTATTAAACAAAGCCTTTGAAGAGCAGCTTTGCCTAAGCTAATAATCATCCTGCTAACACCCTGTACAATGCAATGCACACTTTCAAAATCATGCATCACAGTTGGGTGTGATCCAAGCACAACAGACCACATGAAGTGCAGCAGACTTTAACCCTTCAACACACAGAGATCACTTCAGGTATGCCTTCCCTCAAAACTAGACATTGTGTGAAGTTGTCTCTCTAAAAGTAGCAGCTTTAACTCCAGGAAGAATAACTTTATTGTTCACAAAAAGTTGCACATGTGACTTTTACCTGCCCATTTAAATGTACTGTATATATATTTAACCTTTTTCACATATCTGTATAAATGTACATTTACCTGATTAGAGTTAAACTTGTGTTATTTCTAATCATACTGTTACTACATGTATATATTCTTATTATCCCTGTGTATCTCTCATGTGTACTAGATGTGTTTATCTCTTATTCTGCTGCTATAAAACCTGAATTTCCCTGCGGGGACCAATAGAGTTCCATCTTATCTTAAGTTATGGATTGTTTGATTTACATTTTTTTATAGATTGGGATGCCCCACATGTTTCGGTATGGGCTTTTTAAAAACAACACATTTGAATAGATACCTCTAATTGAGGTGGTTTATTGAACCCAGGGTTCCAATACACATTCAAACATTCTCTGGGTTTAATGTGAGTGGAAATATAGAAAGTAAGTAATACAACACGTGTATTAGCAGAGGTGTATTACATCTGTAAGAGCTACACTGGTACGTGCCAATCTGACAAAGTAATCTCCCATGCTTGAAGTTGTTGTGAAGTATCATACGGTCACCTGATGGGGTCTATGCGAGACTTTCGCCTCTTGCGTTCCACTTCAGGGACCGAGTGCCACTGAAAGGTGAGTCTCCAGTCGAAGCCTCCGATCATTGGCTCGTCTGTTTGCATGTAAAACTCAAATGTGTTCCAGTCAATGGTGTCGATCACAGGGCACACGATGGTACTGGCATTCTCAGCAATCCTAAACACAAAACATTGCAAATTACATTCAGCGAGCAGGCAACGTTGGTTTAGTATTTACATTTGATTTCTATTCAGGTTCCTCCAATAAAAAAGATCTTCACAAAGCTTTTGCTAATCTGATGAACCCACCTTTCAAGCAGAGGCTCAATCCAGCCAGGGACGCACTCACAGTGGCAATCGAGAAATGTCAGCACGTCACCCGTAGCGTAGGTGGCCCCGATGAGACGAGCCCGCACCAGACCCTCCCTCTTCTTGGTGCGAATGAGTCGCACGCGATTGACTTCACTGATGTGTTGGGCCAGTTGAGATTTCAGGTACACTATTTTTCACAAGAAATACACACACACAATCAATATTTTTTACATTAAACGTATGTTGATTCCCTGTCTTACATGTGATTTGTGGCTACTAGAGGCAGAAGTGGACAAAGTATTCAGATGTGTTTTACTAGATAAATATTACTGCTTTCAAAATGTTCATGAAGTGAGAGTATAAAAGTATTTACATCAATTTATTTTGTATTATTGATGCATTCATTTGCTTTTCATTTAAATGTTACTGTTGTTAATGCCGGAGCTTATAGTCAAGCTATATGTTTTCCGTGAATTTCCCCCTGGGATCATAAAAGAAAGCCCGCAATAACAGATGATCCTTTTTTGTTGATTATATTTTGTATCATTTGTCTAAATCTGAATCTTCAAAGTAACTAAAGTCGGCAGATAAACATTATTGAGTAAAAATAACAATATATGCCTCGGAATTGTAGTATTAGGAAGGAAAATACTATGCTGATACTTTTAAAAGTATCTCAAAATCTTACTTCAAAACAGAAGCTGACTGGAAGTATATTTGTGGTTAATAAAGGTAAAACACAAAAGCTGAAAGGAAGCTGTCTGTCTGTCAATCACTCTGTCTCTCAATCCCTGCTGCCTGTCAGCCTGTCTGTCCGTCTGTATGTCCGCCTGCCTGTCTGTCCGCCTGTCTGTCTGTCCGTCTGTCCGCCTGCCTGTCTGTCCATCTGTCCGCCTACCTGTCTGTCCGTCTGCCTGTCTGCCTGCCTGTCTGTCTGTCCGCCCGTCTGTTTGTCTGTCCGTCTCTCTGTCTGTCCGCCTGCCTGTCTGTCCATCTGTCTGTCTGTCTGTATGTCTGTCTGTATGTCCGCCCGTCTGTCTGTCTGTCCGTCTGTCCGCCCGTCAGTCTGTCTGTCCGTCTGTCTGCCTGTCTGTCCGCCCGTCTGTCTGTCTGTCTGTCTGTCCGCCCGTCTGTCTGTCTGTCCGTCTGTCTGTCCGCCCGTCTGTCTGTCTGTCCGTCCGTCTGTCTGTCTCTCCGTCTGTCCGCCCGTCTGTCTGTCTGTCCGTCTGTCTGTCTGTCCGTCCGCCTGCCTGCCTGTCTGTCTGTCCATCTGTCTGTCTGTCTGTCTGTCTGTCTGTCTGTCCGTCAGCCTGTCCGTCTGCCTGTCTGTCTGTCTGTCTGCCTGTCTGTCTGCCTGCCTGTCTGTCTGTCTGTCTGTCCGTCTGCCTGTCCGTCTGTCCGTCTGCCTGTCCGTCTGCCTGCCTGTCTGTCTGCCTGTCCGTCTGTCCGTCCGTCCGTCTGTCTGTCTGTAGAAAGCCTTCTGGTCGGGGAGTGGCATGTCGAGCGTTCCATTTGGTCAGGGTGGTCAGAGGAGAGGAAATGATGTCATGGCAGCTCAGTGCAGACTGAAGTCATTATTATGGTGTAATGTCTTGGATGCACACAGGCTAGACTAGCTGGGACCGAATACTAATACCATTAGGACGGACAGAAATCAAGCTACTACTATATCTAGTTTCTGAGATGAAGTATCAATCAAAAGGTTTGCTGGCGGACACCATGAGACAGGGTCAAAAGTTCAGAGAAACTGGTCAGTCAACCTTTGAATTGTCATATATACACTTCATTCCCCAATAGACACGCTTCATGGTCTGGAGAAGAGAGCATACAAAAGACACACATACCAAGAATAAGACAGCAAATGCTTGAGCAGGGAAGCAGGGAGACTGACTTGGAATGAGCTGAATAATTTGTAATTACTTAGCTTTTATAGTAATGATTGCAGCAGTTTTAGAAAAAAAAATCTGCATTTATTAACCTTGCCTCTTTTCAATAACAAAGCAATCCACTTCAAGCATGCCTTAAATACCGCTACACCTTATTTCATCATTAAAAGAATGTGCACAAAATTAGTTTCAGAGCTTGTTTTTCTAATTGTTTTCAGAATACATCCAGAGGCATTATGTATTAGTATTCATTGCTCCATTGATATGCATCGTTTCATTATTTATAACAGTCCTGCTTGCCCTGTTCTCTTCCACGCTGTGAATGTGAAGAAATCAAAGCAAAACTGGAGGCTTATTTTGTTAGCTTTACTAAACTAGGCCAAGGCTCTCAGTCCTCTTTAAACACTTTTTTTCTGTCAGTTGTATTGTTGTGTGTAGAGTGTCAGACCTCGGTCACTGTAGTCATCGATGAGGATGATCTCCTTCAACAGGGTGGCGGGCGTGGTCTCCAGGACGCTGTGAATGGTCCTCAGCAGGGTGGACCACGCCTCGTTGTAGAAGGCGATGATCACAGAGGTGGTGGGTAATCGCCGGTAGTCAAACTTCTTACTTCGGCATCTGAGGTATGTTCATGTGTGTGGGTGGGTGGCGTGAGGGAGAAGACAAACACAGTTGACATAAGCAACAGTACATATTTATAATGAAAGGACAGCATGCTAAAGGAAGTCAAATGATTTTCTCATATGATCAGAGCAGCCACAGCAGTTGTAGCAGGGGGAGGTATCTGGTCTTAATCCAGATGGCAGTCATTAAAACAATAAAGAGCCGAGAAATATGGATGGGGGTGGGGAGGGTATCGCACCAGTGAGCAACATACCACAGCAGTGCTCTGAGAGAGACTACAGAAAGTTGAACAAACAGAGACGAGGGGAGCAGAACAGAGAGAGGGGACAGGGGTAACACAAAAGTACTGTAAACTCATAACTTGAAGGAATACAAAAAAAAGGCATGAAATACTGAAAAGAAGAGAAATAAAAGTCAAACTGTGTTACTAGAGAACTCTATTGTTATGAGTCATTGGGATAGAACAGTTGAAGTACTGGCACAGGTTGAATTACTTGGCTAAACCCATGATGATGACACTGTTGGAAGTTAGCCAGGATTAGAACCAAATTGTAATTCTGTAGCACCAGTTACAACCAATCAAATAAGCTGTTTCCCTTTCTTTAACAGCAAACTGTTTCATAGTGGAGAGAAAGAGCTTTCCAAAGCGACGGATTCACCCTCCAATAACAGATGCATGTGAAGGAGGCACTCCACAAATCCCACTCCTTGTATAATAGCCCGTAATGACAGACTGGCAGTTCTCGGCTAATTATTAGTTACTTAGATCATTATAAAACATGTCACCGAACTTGTTTATTAGTCTACAAGTAAAATGTGTTCATGCAAAAATAGCGTGGAGTATTAGTTCCCTTGTAACTCCGTCATGGTATGGGCAGGCAGTGAAGCACATGAGGAACATGAAACTAAAACAGCACACCACTTGATCTCTGCTTACTCCTTCCTCACTGTGTCTATTCAGTTGTGTGTGCACTTGTCAAAAATGTCACTGCCAGCGCAAATTCCCATCATGCACTATCATAAAAGTGACCGTTTGTGCAACGCAGGGAATCTGGTCTCTAGGGCTAAAACAGAATGTAGTTTTGTTAATTAAAAGTATAGTACAATTAAATATAACAGTATTTACATTTCAATGGAATGGAATAGAAGGAATAAAATATGGAATACAAATCAGCAGTCATACTTGACTTTCAACCTTCCTGGCAGTTTCCTCAGCATCTTATTAGTCTACTATTGGATATGCAGACATCTTGCTGGTCAAATGGTTTATTCCAGTGTCACCAGGGCAAGATTAATATCTCTGCACCTCTAGTTTTAGGGATAGACGGAAACATGGAAAGATAAACTATTAATACAATTCATCATACTTTGTGTGTCATCACAGAGGCTGAGAATAGCTGCGGACAACCACTCTGGATGGAATAAATCAATTCAGCCAGGGAGCTGCTGCTTACCAGCTTCAATAAGCCCTGCAATGCATCCAGAGAGCTTTCATCCTTGTGTTTGAAAGTCAGGGGAAAACTGATCCCAGTAAAGAACTCAACTTAATCTCTAGTGAGTCATTTATCCCTGACACAATTGCAGCATAGCTATCAGCTGCATGCAGGACAGAGATACACATACATGTTGGCTAGGACCTCAAAGGAAATAACAAGCAATAAAAGATGAATTAGGGATTTCCTTGAGAAAAATTAGTCAACTTAGGCTCACTTTCTGACTAAGAGGCCTTTTTGCCATACTCACTCATTCATCCTGTGGTCCTGGATGTGCCGGTGGAGGGAGATCTTATCACTGACGTAGATATTGATGGCATATCGCTCCACACTGTCCTGCTCAAGTTTCTTCTCCTCAGGGCTGAGGTTGAGGTGTGTGGCCCGCCCCCACTCCCCCATCGCGTTGCTGTCTGGTGCTGGTTTACTGTAGAGGGGCCTAGCCAGCTGACCATCAGCCGCAGCCTCATCCAAGGACCGCTGTTTCGCCCGAACATTGCGGCCTTCTTCATCTTCCTCTACAGTGGAAGAGGAGGGGAACGGGGAGCCTGCTAACAGAATGTAGCCCAGCCACAGCACCCAGAGCAGCACACCTGCCTTGGCCAGCACACCAAGTTTTCGAGAGCAACGCCCCCTCATGACGAGAAGCCCGGCAACGGGACTGGCTGAGCTTCAGGGTGCCCCACAGGACAAAAGCCTCTGGAGGACAGAAAGAATCAAATAAATAATGATTATTAAGGTTTTTATACAACATGTAAGAAACAGGAGAAGGGACAGGAAAGTGTAGACTTGTGAGAAACATCAAACCAAGGCACCAAGAAACTACCACTGACAGGAGGAGATTTACAAGATTGAACTCTTTAATCACAGCTCGCCGCATTACAACACATTCACAATCAAGTGAAGCTACACCCAAGTAAGTTAGCGCTTGCTTCTAAATTTGTGAATGCCCCCAAGGACACGGCTCCAATAGAGCAGACCAGGGGTAATCAACAGCAACATCATAAATGTAATCGCCTGCTCAGGGCTACATTAAGATGCTCATCAAATACAAATGCAAAGATGGAAGAAGCTAAATTAGACTTTTACAGTACAGTAATGTGCTGAATAAATTAAGTCTGTGATGCATATACTCTCATTACAGCGGTGCCGTTTAGGTCCCATTGGACAAAGTGATCTTCAATATGTAGGTTTTTACTCAGGGCTGTGCATTGGCAATAATCTGGTATGTGACACGATACAGTGGTTATGATCATTCCATTTTGATACTTTGTGATACTCCATAGGTGATATATATTAGCAGTAGAGTAGAGAAAATAAACGTTACTTTTTTAAATGCAATCAATACAGTGGGGTCTGCATTTGCATTTCTCACAGTCCCTGTAAGAACCAAAATCATAGCACTACTTTGAGTTGATTGTGAAATGTAAACTATTGCTGAAAATGGATTGATACTTTATCACTAAAAATGTTTTCCGATCTGGCAATAAGTGGCGATAAGTGTTTCAATATTTCCTTAGTTTCTTCCAAACTGCGCTGTTGTGATGTTGCACATTTACCGCGTTTTCAAATATCATGTGAATTTTCCAATTAGCCGGTTCACACTTCTGCTTCTGCACCGTAACCAAGAAACCAGCAACAGCTCAAATATTCCCTGGTGCAGTGATGAATCACATTTCCAGTAATTATAAAATGTTCCTAGAACCCACAACCTATTAAATGGCATTCACAGCTCTTGCACAATATCTTTAAATCGAAATTAGCCTAGAATTTCGATTAAGAATCAGCAGTTTGAACGGTTCCTGATTTTAGGATTTCATTTCCCTTCCAATGAGACTAAAAAAAAGCAGTGAGCCAATGAATCTGGGTTAAAAAATGTGCACAAGGATGGACCAGCTGATTTTGAAATAGGATTTAGGTTGGTACTGCAGGTGCACACATTAGGCAGTGTCGACATTTGTGTCTGACAGATCGACTTAGCACGCCGGGGCATAAAGAGGGCCGCGGGAAAAACAGACCACTTAGCTATGTTGACACCGACCCGAATGTAATCACATAATTGTGTTGCATTAATATTAGAGCGAGGTGCCATTTACAGTAGTGCCAGCAAGTGCCAGAAAGGCTTAGCAGCAATACTGAAAGGCACACGCACTCTTACAGACAAACAACAACAGTGTGTTCCCTTTCTCACACCAGCGCACAATGATTTCCTAATTCTGACAAACCATGGTTATTCCTAGGAACAGTGACTGAAGACCCTGTCAGATAAAGATGTGTGTGCAAAGTTCTGTGTGGGAGAACATATATGGTACAGACAGAGTCAGAGGAAACTAAATTTCCACTGAGAGTCCTTCAAGGCAGCAGCACAGCCCTTTCACTCCAATCTGGGCCTCGGCCAACGCACTCGGGAGTCCTGAGGTTACAAAATGGAGACGTAGTCAGACAAAAAAACCTTTTATTGGCTGTCCATCACACCTTCCACTCTCTCTGAATCTGATAGCCTTACTGGGCAGCCGTTTGTAACGAGCCGTAGGGGACAGAGGCCTAAAAATGCAGCTTAAATCCGGCCCCCCCAACAAAGAAAAACTGGGTAATGGATATGATTTGCATTTGCTTCCCAAGCTGCAATCTGTTCAAACATATCACGCTAACAAGTCCTTAAAAAGAGAGCGATGAAAAAGATGGGTCAACAATTTATGTTACAGTTATACACAAGAAACACACCAGGCTTGATGTGTGAGTCACTGGATTCTCAGATGTCAGGTGAACTATGTGGCACGTGAAGGAGGCTCCAGTGCTCTCCGTGGTTAATAAGCAGCATACTGTACAATACATGGCTCATTTCCTCATCAGCCAGTCAAGAGAGGAAGACAAATATCCAAGCAGCACCAGACAGGAACAGGTTACACTAGTAAAACAACCCCATTAACCGGTTGACCCTTTTCAGTTTGTAAAAGACTCATAAGACAGGATCCACGACTCCTTTCAACAACACAAACATCTCTTTGCTGCTTACACTCTGTGTATACAATACTGACAGAAACTGTGTTAAAGGAGCCAGGCTGTGATGCAGGATGAAAGGCTAAAAGCTGAATAGAGATTTTTCCATCACTATGTGTCAGACACACATCCAAATAAATCCAAACAGACACATTTGCTTATCTTGCTTGACTTGAGCAGATTGGGTGATAAGAAATACTGCATTTGAAAGCAAAAGTAAAACTCAATGCCCCCCATATTTAATCAAATGTCAGCCTAAAGCCTCTTTATCTGGTGATCTAACTTTTATCTTTTTGGAGAAAGAGGTGTCACAGGTGTCAGGATGAAAAGAAGAGATTAAAGAGGCAAGTAGCCAGTCCCTGTCACCAGTATAGCTACAGTCAAAACACACTTTAGCAACAGGTCTCCTCGCCTGTCACATTAAACCAATGTTAGGATTACAATCTGATTTATAGTCTGCAGACAGAAGGAAAGCTCTCAATCAACGTCACACTGTGTGTATAGATTAGCGCAGTCGTGACTCAAAAGAAAGACTAATCTCAATTTTTAAACTGGCATCTACGAAAAACTATTATAAGAAGCTTCAAAGTGACATTTTGAAGCTTTACGTCAGCATTTACGTCGTTGACAAACCACACCGACTAATGAGTGACTTTACCGGTAAACAAGCAAGGAAGTTATCGACAACACTTTGAACACAATGTACACGACAGTTGCAAAAGCGCGTTTACAGTTAGATAGGAACGAAGTGATCTTGTTAGAGTTTACCTTCAAAAACAAGTTACATGTCTCGGAGTTTCTTGAAGTTGCTAAGGCCGTTGTTTGTCAGTCTGCCTGCGGTCGTCTCCAGTCAAACCTCTGGCTTGCAGATGTCAGCATACCCACATCCTCTCCTCCACGTTGGGCTTCTGACCTGGGGCAAAGCAGCCACGCTTACGATACTGGTTCCGGTCAGACTTTTCAAAATAAAAGAAGGAAACAAATCTTCAATCAGGAAAAACGATATGTTTTCTGGTAATCCAATAAATAAAATGTGTGAAATAATAACACGGTAAAGAAAGTGTAAGCATGTGCTTTTTATAAATGTATAGTGTAAGTCTGTATCACAATGTCTCAGCATATGATTTCATTGTGACACAGGAGTTCAACATATAGTTGTTTTGAATATATTCAAAAGATAGAATGAGATACACATATAATACAAATACAAATTAACATTAACAGCGATACAAATTTACAGTAGAAAATGCACATATCACTAAAGTATCTAAACAATACACAATATGAAGAAAATACTGAATAAATGTGAATACTCTACAATAAACAATCTCACTAGGCAACAGCAAATATACTATAGAAACAGAAACATATTGACATTGTAAATGAAGTAGCTAGTATACAATAAATAGGCTACTATTTTGAGCGCTTAGGGTATTTTATCCAATCTCGATAAACCTACTTGTTTAAAACATAAAGAAGAATGAAATGTATTTTGACTGGTGTATAGTGGTTTTGTTAACATTAGCTTATTACTTCCTCTTCCTGGTTTCTCATACTAACTTTCACACACAAAAATAAACATACTTTATTGCTCCTTACTTCCGGTGTTGGCGGCATCGCCTCCAGTTAGCTTGATGCAGCCTTCAATGCTAACCGCTGTTAGCTGTCATGTGTCTGCTGCGATTGGATACTATTGCAATGTATAGAACTATATAATCAGTATGTACTCTATGCCACGTGGCCAGGGTTAAATATACAGGTAAGTAAGTTAAACGTGTAACCTGAACATTTATGTCCGAGTTGCTGTTATACACTTAAAAAAAGTTTGTGTGTGAGTGTGTGTGTGAGTGTGTGTGTGTGTGTGTGTACCCTGTGAAAAGCTCACCCTAACCTGTCAGTTAGGTTAACTCCATCCTCTAGGGGTGTCTGAACTATAATTATGTAATTAAAATTACATTAAAAAGTTACATAAACACACTGTCACATGTTCATGAACTGAACGACCTTTAGCCTGTATGTGAAGATAACATAAGGCTGCTGGATTCTATTATTAACCCAAAAAAAGTAATAAACGTGAGCAATAAACACCCAAATGTAATGGAAATGTAATAATGTGTTAACTTAATTGTGTGCTCAAATTGCAACAAGTCAGCAAATAGGCATCAACTTTATATGTCAAGCACAATCCTAAATGGCACCGAATATAAATCACTTTCACCGGGATCAAAAGCTTTACCGGAGGAATTAAGTATCCACAGATGATTTATGAGATCAGTTAAATTAAACATAAGACATTTTTTTTGGTTTAGACTCCGGACTTGGATGCGGTGTATGAGTTTCCAATTGTGTCGCTTTAAGAATCTATTATTTAGGGAGTGTAGCTCCTTTAATCACATAGCTTTACTTTAGTTTAGGATGGATTTAAACCAAATTGAAAGTCACAAAGTGTCTTAAATCCTGTCTTGATGTTCACAAGAATGGTGAAAGGATCTATTCGTCCAATGCATGAATGGACAATGTGTCACACACTCGCACACACACACGCACACAAACAGACCTTCCCTCTGTGTGTTTGCCATTTTAAGCTTGGTTTGTTTTCCCATAGTCTAGCTCCTGCTCAGGCCAAACCACACTTGCCTAGAGTGTGCCGATGATGGTGCAGCCTGTTGTTAGGCCGACACCTGCACCTCTTGGTAATCTGCCAAAGTCTTTTATTCCTCCTTCTCTCTCCTTCTCCTTTCCTCATCCTTTTCTTTCCCCAGTTGAAACTAATTGACATCTCCCTCTGTGAGGCTGATGTGCCCCCATCCGGACCTGAAAGGGGTCTCGTTTCCATGATAGGGATCTGGGGCTTTCACAGCAACAAGGGGGGCTCTTGTACAGGTCTTACGTTTCAACCTTCCCTCGCATTCAAACTGTTAATTACTTTGCAACTTGCCCTGTTAGCTTGTCATAGCTACATTAGGGGAAATTCTCTTTAAATCAATTTAGAATCAAGTAATGTTCTACACTCTCCATCAGGGGCGGACTGGCCATCGGGACGTTCGGGACGAATCCCGATGGGCCGGTACTGAAGCGGGCCGGTCGGACGATGTGGGCCGGTCGGTAACCGGAAGGGCTCGACATTAAATGGCCCGCTGGCCCGGAAGCACTATTTAGACACCCCGGGCCAGCATAACGTACTTTGCCCGCTCGGGCCACTAAAAATATTGCTTTAAAAAAATGGTCCTGTGGTATTGGTATTTTGACTAGCAATTTAGTTAAATTGTTTCGTTTATCAACGCTACAATATAGCGTTTTGTGAGTCGGTTGTCGTTGTTGGGTGAAAAGCAAACAGCTGTTTGCTGCGGAGCGCAGCGCGAGCAGGCTCCCCTGAGCGCGAGCAGGCTCCCCTGAGCGCGAGCAGGCTCCCCTGAGCGCGAGCAGGCTCCCCTGAGCGCGAGCAGGCTCCTCTGAGCGCGAGCAGGCTCCTCTGAGCGCGCTCCTTCACTACAGACTATCGCGCCGCCTAACCATTCGCCAAAATGTTTTTAATACCAGCGGTAACCGGCCAAGCGCCGGGCAAAAAACAATCTTCAAATAAAAGAAAGTTACCAGAGGAGTTAAATGAGAGTGACAGGGAGCATGAGAAGAAGAGGGAGAGAAAGTTTCGGCCAGCTTGATCGATGGAGTTGGCTTCTAGTGGTGCAGTGACGAGTCCTAAAACCCTTTAATAATCTATCGATTAGATTTAAGATTCGAAAATTATAAAAGTAGGGTAGACATGTGGAGATTATCCGGCTGAACAAAACGTGCATTTATCAAACAGGTTTGTTTTCCACAGACCTTATTTCCAGCTATTTTCCAAAACCCTGTGGAGAAATCCCATTGCTTTTTGTCGAGGGAACCAGCAGTTTACTTCCTGGTTTTAGGACGCGTCACTGCACCTCTCAATATGATGCCAATATAAACTGTACGATGAAAGTGGGGGGATGTTGGCTTATCAGGCGCCCGCAGCTCACACACAGGACAGATATCAGCTGTCTGGACAGGACTGATAGCCAGACAGACTGAGAGGCTCAGTGAGGTAAAGGACTGAGTGTTTAGATAGTTCACTTTAGTCTAAGTTATCTCAGAGGGTCTCAAACGGTTTGTTAACAATTTATGTAAACAAATATTTCCAAGGCAACCTTTATAATTATTGGGATAAATAAAAACAGGTTTGAAATCATTCCAGTGCATACTATAGGACAGTAAACCAGAAATATTGTTTAAATCTGGAGAGATTAAAGAATATGCATAAATAAATAAATGTTAACTGGTAAAATAAGAAATAAATGAACAACAAAAATAAAATAAGTTACATTTACTTGTTATTGGCTATGTTAGGTTATTGGTTATGTCCACATACTTATTTGATTATTAAAATGTAAACCGATCTTTTCGATATGGGTGTTTAGAGTTGTACCCCTTAGATCTAGTCTCTGGCAATTCAGCTCAAAGTGCACCAGATTGAAGCATTTTACTTTATAATGTTGAAAAAAAATCTTCCCCCCTGACCCCCCTAGAGGATGTGATCCCCACAGCACCCCCCATTTGAAACATGTTCCCACGGCTATGCTTGCAGAAGTCTCATTGGACTCTAGGACGCAGATTTTTAACCAATAAGTTATTTTCTGACATCCAGTTTGAGTAAATAATGAATGTGTTAGAAAGCAGATCCTGGTGTTAAAATAAACCAACTTTATTGAGTGATCAGGGTATATGAATCTTTATATCTTATAGATTAGTAACTTGAATTTAGTTAACGAATGACTCTGAAGATGGGGGGGTATGTAAAAATGGTCTCCACCTTCATCACCTCATGTTTATGAAGCAATGACGTGAATTCATGTAAAAAAGGACCATAGTCATGAAATTAGATGATGAATAAAAAGACTGTTGAAAAAGAAACTGAAAGAATGTACAACTTTGTGGGTTTATGGACATGAAAGATGAAGAATGTACAACTTGTGTTTATGGACAATGAAAGGGATGAAAAGAGTGTACAACTTGTGGGGTTTATGGACATGAAAGATGGAGAATGTACAACTTGGGTTTATGGACATGAAAGATGAAGGATATGTACAACTTGTGTTTAATGAGGAATGAAAGAATGGAAGAAATGTACAACCTTTGAGTTTTATGGAGATGAAGATGAAGAGAGTAAAAGGTTTGTCCGACCAAGGAAATCAGACTTTACACACAAACCCACCGCACTAGTAATAATAAATTCTCAGTAACGCCCGATACTAAACTTTGTGCTAGGCACATAGGTAGTAAAGGACCAGAAGAGATTCTTCTCCCTGGTTACTTTTGCAACAGTACAACGGCAACAAGTCGTACCTTTGTAAGTAATCGATTGTACTGTAATAACAAGAATAATTATATTTCCCTCCAGTCCAATGAGAAATTTTGTCGACGATCAATACCCATGAAAAATGACTTCATGTAAATTTTCGGGAGAAATGAAATGAACTCATTTTTCTTCAAATCAGTCATGAAGATGAAAATTGTCAGGACATCAGGATCTAGACTCAGGGGACCTGAAGGCTCAGCACCGACTTGGACAGAGACACCAGACGGACTGAGAGTAGGTATGATGAAGGGACTACCGAGGGTGTCCTAACAACTGTAGGATCACCTAAAGTAGAAGAATAATGACTGTGGTACGTAAAGGTTGTAAACCAGATGGATGCGACATTTTAACAATTATAGAGAAAACTAAATCTGTGCCGTAGATAAACGAGACAGGCAGGACTCCTCTCCCAGCTGAGGAGAACGACGAGAGGGACTCCAAAAGGTACAAGGGGAAAATTTGACACCCCCAAAAGAGTACCTTCACAAAGGAACATGCTACACTCCAGATTCTGTCTGTGTGTTACACCAAAACGAATATAGGAACATAAGACACCTCTACTATTGTAAATTATTGTCGGAAAAGTAACGAGACTTTCAAAACCCGTGCACAGAAGATTGTTATAGAAACTTCAACGTATTATAAACTAAAGTGACAGAAGGAAAATAAAACTGAAAAACACAGTTCAACCATGTGTCACGCTCCTCCTTTGTGTTCACTGACAACAGAGAAGTCATTTTATAAAATTTCGAGTTTAGTGGACCTTAAAGCCCGTATAAGTGACAAGATGTGGAATTTTCGGTTACCTCTAAAAAAATTTGCTGAATCTGAACACAAAACCCCTAGTTATTTCAGTTTGGTAGCAACCCTCAGTGGGTTACTCACTGCAGATTTCTTGCTACTTGTTGATATTTAATTTGTAACAACTCTTTTACGACGTAGAGAACGTAAATAACTTCATCTCCTCGGAATAACAAATGGAAAATTATAGTAAAACCAATTCAAAGTTAACGAACCAAAAGCACCTTTAATCGGACAAAAGGAGGAATATCACATGTGTCTAAACTACGTAGAGGTTTCTAGTTAGGAATTTCCGAAGACTTTACCCCTGTCTTTCCCTCTCCCATGGTCACTTACGTGAAAAATTTCATAAACTCACTTTTGTCCAACTAATGTTCTTAAATTTTATTTGCATTTGTGTCACCGTATGAAGGTGCTCACCACTACCCTACTGGTACCCACTATGATGAGAACAAATCACACACACACACACACACACACACACACACACACACAACACACACACACACACACACACACAACACACACACACAAACACACACACACACACACACACACACACACACACCACACACCACACACACACCACACACACACATACCTCCTAATTCGTAACTTCAGAAGTACAAAACCAAAAATACAAACCTTGGACTCGTACTAAGGATAGTCTCCCTCCCCGACGTCTGCCCCTTCCCTTCCAACTTTCAACTTTCATACTTCAGTATGACAGTCTGACGGTCTGCGGTTAAAAATGTCGAACTGCCCCGTTCCTCCTGCTGTCNTTACAAGAAAGCTTAGCACTGAGAAAATCCATCTTTGAAGAACCAGCACCAACACAGCCCCCAGGTTCATCAGGGCACACAAACCTCTCTACCACGGTAAGGTGCTGGTTCTTCAAAGATGGATTTTCTCAGTGCTAAGCTTTCTTGTAAAAGGCTTGTTTTTCATTCAACTGTGACTAAATCGTAGCTCTAGCAGCGTCATGTTAATATTGCTAATGTTGATGTTAGATTTAGAGGTTTTACTATGATAACATTCATCTGTCTGGATCTCAACCGAATGAACACTGTCTGTGTGAGAGGGCCTGCATGAGAGTGCATGTGGTTTGTCTGCCGTGTACCTCTCAGGTTCTGAGTATTGGGCACCATCAAAAATGCATGTATCTCAGTTTCACCTATCTGAAAAAAGTACATTATTAATGCTGGGGAGCTTTGATCGAACAATAAATTACCTGTTCAGGGGGAGATTGTACCGAGCTCTGCCAGAGCACATCAACAGCTTCAAGTACATTAGGCTGTTCTCATAATATATTAACAGACTGCAGAGCTGCAGTAAATAATATTGTTTTTGGAATACAACTAGTTTCCCTATTAACAAGTGATTATGCTTAAGTTGGGCCTATGTGCCTTAGATGTTCACATTTGCTTTTGTATGTTTTCTTTTCATGCCAGCAACCTGCCACAGACTGTAATGGACTCAAGTGCTCATCTTTATTAATGCCTATTGCTAAATAAATAAACATAAAGTATATTTAGTGACTTATATTGGTTTGGTATACCATTTAAAAAAAAAAAAAAAAAATCATAATAATAAATGTTCAAACTGATTGAAGACAACTTCACTGTGTCTTCCATCTGATACTGTAAGTCTCTTTTATGTATTTGTCTGTTTATTTGTTTGTTTATTTATTTGTTGTTTTGGTTTTGTTTGTTTGTTTTTCAATAACAAATGTATTTCTTTAAGAAAAAAATTAATATATATATGTTAATAATTTAGTTTTTGGGAGAAGGGGTGGGATTAAATAAGTGTAAACTTCTTCCCACCCCTTTTTGGATGTGTAATTAAGTAGTTCATTTGTTTATATATAATTTAGAATCAGTAATATTTTTGTATATCAATTTGACACTGCTTAATTTTATATTGTATAATAATTCTCATGTTACATTTTTGTATTATTGTTTTATACATTCGAAATAAATAAATAAAAATAAAATATTATAGTAATTATAGTAGGATTTAAATTACTACACCAGCATGTTATTCACAATAAAACACAACATTCATTGTACTTAATATTTAAAGCCCAGGATCTCAAATGAATTGTAGAATGATTTAACAGTAAATATAATTTTAAAGAATTTCAATCACAAGCAATTATTTTATTGTGTCGCATTTGGAGAACCGCATCTTGGTGTGTGTGTGTGTGTGTGTGTGTGTGTGTGTGTGTGTGTGTGTGTGTGTGTGTGTGTGTGTGTGTGTGTGTGTGTTTTTGTGTGAGTGTGTGTGTGTGTGTGTGTGTGTGTGTGTGTGTGTGTGTGTGTTACTGTGGACTTTGAACGTTATTGAGTTAACAACCTTAGCAAACAAAGCTATTTGTTGAATTGACATCATGTGCTACCAATAACCTGCTATTTGTTTACCGGGTCCGATTAATAAAGTAAATATTTACCTTTACTGTGTGACTGTTTGATTTGACTAGCTTCAAATACATAAGAAAATGTTCCATTAGCAACAAAGAATATTGTGGATATTGTAATGAATAAATACATAAGACTTTGGGATGCCAGTGTGAGATGACTCTTTTGTTGTGTGCTCATTTCCCAGGAGACCTATGGGGATATCTCGGAGCGGCTGCTGCTGAGGGAGAAGCTGAAATGCCAAAGTTTTGAATGGTATTTGAAAAATATCTACCCTGAACTACACATACCTGGGGACAGAGGGGGCTGGCATGGTGCTGTGAGTGTTTGCCTTCTTATCTGAATTCCTTTATTTGTCCTGTTGCAATCAAAGAGTTGCATCAGTGTTTCATTGACAATCTCCACACATCCTGTGCTGACTTGTCCCTGCCTAGTTACAGAGAAATGGCATTGCAGTTAAGTCTTACTTTCTAAATTCCATTTTTTTTATGTCTAAAACTGAGTTATGCTGGGGCGGGATATGTGAAAATCCTGTTTAAAGTGAGAAAGCTGGACTTAGACAAACAGAGGCTTTGTAATCCATTTGGACTGGGATCAAGAACATAACAATCCGGTGGAGTATAAAATGCTTTGCACGTTATTCTCGGTTGGCTTAGTGTTAGGTTTTAAAATGATCAGTGAAGAAAAAAGGACAATCCCTAAAGGATTGCTAAGGCCTTAAATGGATAGTTCTGCCTTTTTGAAGAGGGGTTGCATGAGGTCTATAGTCACACTGGATTTGGAGAAACAGACAGGAGTACCAACACTAAAGGTAAGCAATGTAATGCTATGGTAAGGGGCAGCAGCACATATCTTTCTGCTGCTTTGATCCGCTAGTTAGTTAGTTATTGTGTGTCTTTTGTGGTTGAAAGGGTTCGTTTGGAATCCCCAAAGTCACATGACAGATTCACAGAAGGATAATCAAATACAACATTAAAATTATATAAGTAACTGTTAGAACAAGATATCGCAACAAGGTAAAACTTGATATTACTTTAGTTCCCTATTTGAAAAGGCGAGCAAAATATTCTAAATACAGTGTACTGTACACTAAAACCAATATTGATTATATTTAGGAGCCTTAGAAATAGTTTTGCTGATGCCCACGTCCGCAGCAAGCTGAGGGTGTAACAGCCGTCATCTACTGTATGTAATACACTGACTATAACACCTCCTTCAAACCCACTTCAAAAATCCCAACTATCCCTTGAACATCCAAAAATCCATCACCCTCAACAGCTGTTAAGTCACACGCTATATGTTATCAGAGCATTGCCCAGACATCTGGAAGGTTATAATTATCAAAGATCTGTATGCACGCTTATAGTCCCAAATACATGAACACATAACTGGAATATATCGAATCTTCAAATAAATAGCATTTTGATAGAAAAGTATAAGTAAGGATAAGGGTTTAAATTGCTTTATAGGTATGTCATAATGTGGAAAATAAGCAACGTCTGTTTTAATCCGAGGACTGAGTCTCCCAGGCGCAGTGTTGCTGTACTGTATGTGAACATTATAGTCTTAACTGTAAAGAAATAAAAGCAACAATAGAAACTCCCTCACAGGAATCAATGAAGCACTTCATTTTATTATTGTATTGACTGTTCTCTTTTGACTTGTTCTCTTCCCGCCAGGTGCGTAGCTTAGGGATTCACTCTGAGTGTCTTGACTATAACTCCCCAGAGCACAGTCCCACAGGCGCCCACCTCTCTCTGTTCGGCTGCCACGGACAGGGAGGCAACCAGGTAGGTCAAACATGTCACACTTTCTTTATTCTGTCCTTCTACCTCGCTCAAGTGCACATATTCTCTCTTGTCACAATCTCCCAACCTCTCTTGGCCCGGTGGGAGATGTATCTTGAAATGTCAACCCCCTCTGCCAACCCCTAAACAATCTGCCACAGTTGATTCACAACAGGAAATGGCTCTCTGCTGGAGAGCATGACTTGAATTGAATAAAGGTCCAACTAAGTTTGGAATTGTATCCACGTATAAAATATTGTTCAATTAAATCACAGGTACTTTTAAACTGAATGCCTGCCAACTGCAGTGATGGATGGGTTAGCAACCAGAAGATTGTTTGTCTGTGAAGATGTATATTTAATGTTGGAGTCAGACAACAGGCAGAGCTCCTTTTATGTGAATCTCCAACCTGCTCGATATCTCTGATTACCACTGATGCACCGCATCTGGTGTCTCAGACACAAAAGCACCATGTGTGACTGAAAATCAATGTTTGTATGGCTCCCCGCTGAAACAAAAACCTTGAAAGGCCCTTCACCCCCCTCACCCCCTCCCTCCTGCTCCTCCATCCCTGGCACACATAAGTACCAGGTTCCATTTAAAAGATACATGAGCCTCGCCGCTGAATGAACGGCACAGCCTGGGTAAATAATTTTAAAGCCAGCCACAAGGGCCTTGAGTCTTTTATTAGAAACTACCATTATGGACCCCACTGCACCTGAAAGATGTATGAGATGATAAGAGAAGGATGGGTAAGGATGAAGATTGATTACCTGAGCCTCCGTTTAATGGGTAGCCCAGGCAGTGCTGCAGCTTTTGTCTCTATTGGCTGGGATGTTGAGCTGACACCAGAGAGGGACGAGCTGGGTTTGTGTTCACGTCTGGTTGATTGAGAGGGCCGCGGCCCTGTCTGTACTGATGAGACCCCTCGACACACACGCAGACATGCCATGCTGGCTTAGCTAGGACCTGATCCCACTGCAGTGTTAGAGAAAAACATCTTGTAATCCTAGTAGGAAAAACATGGCCAACTGCACTATTGTGTTGTGTTGAAAGGCTTTCTCATTAAAGAGGAGAGATTAAGATAGAAAGAGAGATGTACCAAAACAATTGGACAGTGTTCACTCTCAGTCACTGCTGTTCTTACAGTTGGATTTCTAAAAAAGTCATTTCCATTCCATGGAAAAGCATATTCATTGTGTATATACAGACAAAAATAAACACAGAACCTGTTCTTTTTTTTCTGCTCCAGTACTTTGAATACACTACTCAAAAGGAGATCCGTTTCAACTCGGTGACAGAGCTGTGTGCTGAAGTACCTGAGGGCCAGACCTACATCGGGATGAAGGCATGCCTTCATGATGGGCAGCTCAACCCTCCCAGTGTTGCTTGGGACTTCAGAGAGGTAGGTGTTCACACACTTCAACTCACAAATACACCCCCATTATTCCACAAGACTTCCTAAACTAAAAACTCTTATTTAAACGTTCTCCCTAAAACCTTTCAGGACGGGACCATCTACCACCATCACTCTGACATGTGTTTGACAGCCTACCGCATCCCAGAGGGCCGCACAGACACCCAGATGAAGCGATGCACCCCCGGAGATAAAAACCAGCAGTGGAAGTTTGAGTCGTAGGAGGGATAGAGAGCTGCAGGGAACCTCAAGTGACCTTCTTTCACCATAGTGCAATTACTACAGTGGATGTCTTCCCTGTGACTGCTCTCCATTTGACTGGCAACAGGGAGCAAATGAAAGGTGGTGAAACAGTCACTTTAAGCCAGTGACTCACCCAATTCAAAGCTTTTATACACGTGTGAAAGACTAAGTGCAGGTCGCGAAGAGTGAATGAGAGATGCAAGGCGATGTTTATTGGACTTTTTTTAGAAGACCAGCAGAACTTGAGACTTTTACATTTGTGTTGCTTTCATCCAAGTGCCTCTGCAACCAAAGTGAAGTCCAGTGCACATCTGTAATTGTAATGTTGTACTTTAATCTAATGCAACAACTTGAAATTAGTGAAACTGATTTGACTGTCGAGAAAGTGCCTCCTAAAGAAATTGAAGCATTTCCTAGAAAATGTATTTCAAAAATCATGCTGCACTACAGAATGTTACCTTGATGTGCAATTAATTTTAAGTATTTTTATTGAGTCCTTTAAGTCAGCAGCATTTTGACCCTAACCAGCTACTTCCTAACATGCTGCATCATGTGAGGACAACAGGGAGAGAGCGGTCACACTAGACTGCTTCTCAATTCTATCTCGTGTCTGTGAAGCCAGTTTCCTGGTGGGATGCTGCCTGAACATGACTGGGAGCATTCCTTAATTATTCATACTAAGTGCAATTTACCCCAGAGGGCTTAGTTAGTCGACAGGTATGTTGTAATCTATTCTTACCTGTTGTGTAAAATTAGGAATACCCTTCGGTTGTAATCTTTTAAGAACTTGTTGGTGCCGAAACGAAATGTGCCAGTGGATTTGAAATGAATTGCATATGTGTTTTTAATGCTCAAAACTAAACACTGGCGCGATGCACTTGATTTTATACAGCAAGCAATGGCTTAAAGGGAGTGCCTGTTTGATTTAATCCAGCAGTTTGTCAGTGCAAGACTGTTTTGTTTAGACTTGTGTGTGTAAACCGTACTTGAAGCAGCATCATGAAAAAGTCCTGTTTTATTTTTCACTGAAGGCCTGTTGGTGTTTCCACTGAGACTCAGTTACCAAGAGATGCAGTGTAACTGTTGTTGAATAGCAGCTGTATTTGCCGAAGACTGCTTATCACTGAGCAATGTTTGGTGTCCTTTGAATTCATGAATATGAGATATTCATACTAGTCGATGGATACAGCAGGTAAACATGTACAGTGAGATGACTCCTGTTTTTCTGTAACTTTGTAAATAATGTTTGGTTTAAGGGACCAGAGTGGGACAGTGCTGTTGTGAAGCACTTTTAAAACTACTGAAAATGCAAAAGGGATGGCGATGATGATTACTTGATATGAAGAAGAGGGTGATGATTGAAATGGGATGGATGTCAATAATGGTTCAAACTGTTGGGATGATTGAAGGAATAAAAACAAACTAACCACAGATGCAAAGTGTCATTTTCATGAGTTCAGGTAGTGAACTCTGCACGGTAAACTACCTGTGGCTCTTTTTTGTGTGACATTAAATGACAATATGGAACAGATTTATTAAGACTGGCATTTACAAACTGCCACAGCTTCCTTCTCCCCGTACCATTCAGACATGGATTACATTATTCTCAGTCATTTGGCACCACCTCCTGGTAGGAAAGCAAATTACAATGACTACCAAGGGGAGACCATAGTTCCTGTCCTGGCCACACGGTCAGGCTAGAAGAAAACATTTAATTACTGATGGACGGTGGAAACCACTTAGACCTTCAGATTACATTAAGGAGTTAGCTAACCTGTGTATTTTATTAAGCAAAGAGTAGGTCAAAATGTACATCAAATGACACATTGTGTGTTTACCCTATCATTGATTAAACGATTCAAGCCATTTTAAGTCATAGATTTTTTAAATATTTTCAGTAACTCTAGTCTACAGTATATCATCCTCTTCTGTTGGATTGTGAGCAATGGTCTTTTAAAAACCTAATGATTTAGGTGAGATTGAAGGAAAAAGTAGGACAAATTGTGACTTTATTTAGAGGATCAGAATGAGACCTGAAGTACAGTAGGTGAGACTTGAGTAATGAGACAAAAAAAGATCCAAAGGAAAGAGGAATTATTTATTCAGGGTCAGGTTTTTTTTTTAATGCAAACTAAAATGGACTGCACTGATCTGTTTGCTATAAATAGTTATTGTTGACTACTGTATAATCTTGATGCTGCCGCAGACTTCCTCGTCTGACATGCTGCATACATTTAATGTTCTTCATATCCTTGTTTTCTTTGTTCCCTTACACACTTGAAATCTGTAAAATATCTGCTTAATCTATCTGAATAAGTATTGGACTCTATAGTTTAATTTTGCAGATCACAAAAACAATTGCTTCTTTCTCATCTGATTAAGATCCACTGAAGCCTTTGATTAATGGCACCTTGGCTATTTTACTTAAGTTCCTTGTGAGTTATATTATATTATCCTTCCAGGAGAGATAACGTGCTTTAACAAATACGTTTAACTGTGTTTGCTCCAGATAGACTTCATTGTGGCGTACCATTAACTTCTCCAATGTGATAGTCACAGTATTTCGGTGTGAAATCCTTTTTTTATGTTGTTTACAAACACAACTATCGAAACATTAACGGAGGACTACTTGCAATTCTATAAATTACTATTACACAGCAATGTTTGTGATGAACACTGCAGTTGAATTGAAAGTAGGAGGGAAAAGGTGTTGCACACAGGTTACATACTATAGTGGTGTTACAACATCAAGGATCATACCTTTTCCCAAAGGTGCATACCCAGTTCACCTTTGTTTCATTTTCCCGTTAATATATTTGCACAAAATATCTGTTGCATCATGGAAAATGTTATCCATCACCCGCTCCTAAATGAAAACGCCCTCATGCAGTAACATTAATATTGTGTTTCTGACAGACGACAAGCCCAGCCTACCATGACATTTTACAACACTGCGGTTGACTTGTTACATTCCCATGTCTCTTTGTAGTTTTATGTACTATACGCCACTCAAATTACCTTCTCACCTTGAAGGATCGCCTTAATTATTTAGCATTTAATTTGCTTAATCATACATTTTGTGTCAGATTTCATCTTTGGTGTCAAGAGTGTTCTTATCAGTTTCATGTGAGTGACAAGTGGCTGCATATGAAATAGGACCACCAAGGTAAATGATTTCTTGCTTGGATGGGTACACTGAAGGGTCAGTAAAGAGGATATAGAGTTATAAAGAGTTTGGGGTATAATGTTTCATATCTGAGGATGTGTCGTGTTAATATAAATGGAAGCTTATCGATAAAAAGTCAACACAGAGAGGAAAAGTTAACTGAAACTCAGTCACCTATGGCCTGACATATTTGATCAGAAACAGACATTTTGGCTTGAATTTCGATATGCATTTCCCAAATATCAGTTACAGACTTTATTTATTGACCTCTGATTTCCCTCATATGTTGTAAAAGCCTAGGTTGAACATGTGACTTATGACTTACTTTTGGCTTAAATGGCATTCCATAACATAGGTCTGTTCCTTCTCAAATATGTACCTTTCCTGCCGCTATTAGGCAGTTGAACTTCAACTGTGTGAAGTTACAGGAGCTAACACATTGCACTTCCGCTTAAACAATTTTGCCTTCAAATTAAAAGGGTGTCGTTGATAAATGACTAGATGAAAGAAAGTCGCATTACTAGAGAGATCTACTAAACACAACATCACTTCATTTTGTAAGCTAACTAACTAAGAACAAATGAAATGCTTTAGCAACCACCGTTACAATAATGTATATGCTTTATGTGGGGTTTTATTTTGAAATGTGTGAACCGGAAGCGTCGTTGCTAGCTCAGCTCAATTGACGACAGTAGGTTTAACTTCAAATTTAAGTAGCCAGAGGCACATTTCAGACGGATTATCTGAAGGTAACATAGAAGGGTTTGACAGGATAGTAGTTGGACGCTGCAAATTGACATGTGTCTTTTTATTTTAACAGTAAATGTACTCAAGAAAAAGCTTACTTAAAGAAACAGTGGACAGGTTTTTGATTTGACCTAAATTTGCATTGTTTCCAGAGAGATTCCTCAGGTTATGTACAGGTTAACTGGCTAATCCAACGAGATAACTAGTTAAATCCGTGGTTGCTAATTATTTTCAGACACGTATCCTCTGAACACCGTTAAAAATGGTAGGAGGAGTGTCCTACTGCAACGACCGTTACGATTAACAACGACAAAGTAACCACAACTCGAACGTTTTTTTTAGTTGGACATGTTCAAGACTGAATACAAACTCATTTATTTTCCGTAAACTGAATGATAACCTGCTAGTTTCGTCTGAAATGCGGACTAAACTTGAAGTGGTGAAACGGAAACGTGACGAGGCTGCTGGTGAATGTGAAAGGGTCACTTCTTGTTCAGCAGAGCAGAAACATTAGGTGTCAGTGTGCCGCTCCTCAGGGCATGAAACTTCTACCCAAGTTTTCACCGAGGAAGGAAGCGACAACATGGCACTCTGCGGAAGAAGGCACCGACCAAAGATACTTTTCTCTCTCTTGAGTGTCACTTTAGTGGGATATCTAGTGTTTTTCAGGCACAAATCAGTGGACGTGAGTGTGACAAACCGTCGAGAGCCCCACGGGGAGCAAGAGGTGGGAAATGAAGAGCTAAAGAAACCCGTCTATGAGAGGCCCCCCATGGATTTATTAGCCCTTGGTGAAATGGGGAGAGCCGTCAAACTGAATCTGAACGGAGAGGAGAAGATAAAAGAGGAAGAAAGCATCAAAAAACATCAGATAAACACTTATGTCAGTGATAAAGTGTCGCTACACCGCAGTTTGCCAGAGAGATGGAACCCACTGTGAGTTACTAGTTGAGAAGTGTCAAGCTTTATACCACTGTTATAAAGTTAAAGGGGATTTTATACACTATGGATGCCATGCAGAAGCTACAATCCAGCTGACAATCTGCCATTGTTTTTCTTAAAGGAAACAATCTATAAGTAGTAGGCTACAGAGTAATTTGCTTTTGGGGTGTAACTGATGCTTGCCATATCTAGTAGAAACTGAATATGTGCGGTATATAATAATGTTTTTTTATCTGGGGCTAGTTAAGAAGTGTCAAACTTAAAACCAAAAACACTTATACAGTGAATGGGATCCTACACTATGGATGCCATTCAAAAGCTACAATCTAGCTGACTAACTGCAGTTGTTTTTCCAAAAGACATTAATTAACTAGTACAATCATTTGCTAGTGGGTGTAACCGATGCTTGCCATATTTAATAGATAGTATTATTTACTTAGCATTTAATCTCCATGCTACTGCCTCCTTCCACTGTGCAGTTTTAACCACTTCCACATCCTCCTTTTCAAAATGACTCCTTATATCTAACACATTGCAGTTGCAAAGAGGTGGAGTATGACTACAGGTCCCTTCCAACAACCTCCGTTGTCATCACCTTCTACAACGAGGCCTGGTCCACCCTGTTGAGGACGGTCCACAGCGTCCTGGAGACGTCTCCGGACATCCTGCTGAAAGAGGTGGTGCTGGTGGACGACTACAGTGACAGAGGTACGAACATGGACTGATGGAGGGAGACGGACTGATGGACAGGCAGAGGGGCTGGGGGCGGTCAGGGGTGCTGATTGACAGTCAGAGAGAACAGAGAGGTTGTCAGAGGTTCACACAAATTGTGAAACAGAACGGTGGCAATCATCAGTTTGTCAGATGAATTGAAGGGAGGAGGACACAGTGACACTTCGCCAATCAGGATATTCAAACAGAGACACAGGAAGGTAGTGACTAGCTGTTGAATGTAAGACACTTGTGTAGGGACACTTTATACACATCCGTTTAGAATCCGAGATGTCTGGTTTTGTATTTATCTTCAATATAAAGACACAGTAACATCTTGGACAATGGTACAGTAATAATTAATAACAGTATTCCTGTACATTGGAAGAGTTTGATCAAACGCAGTGTTCAAATTGGAAGAGGAAAAAGAGAAGCATTCTGTGGCTGGCTAAAGATGAACTGAAGAGATTTTTTGTCACTAATTTGAGGCCATTCATTATTTTGTTTTCTGTATGCAGATTAACTGTGAAGAGCTGAGACATTTTAGGGAGTGGTTCAAAACCATTTTGGCTTCGTGGTCTAATGAATGAAGCAATGCCTGCCTCACCCTCTGTGTTAACATTGGCTGTATACAGAACGGTGAAGAAATTCACCAGAATATGATTTAAGAGGTGGTGTAGAGACCAAGAACCTTTCACAATCACACCTTAGAAGACGGGCACGGAAAGAAATACATTGTAAAATATTTGTTAGATACGGTATGTTTGTATTCTTGCATGTAAATCAACATAAACTCGTACCATCAGAACAGCAGGGATTTCTGACGGTCTGTTTAAGGACAAAGGATTAACTTACCAAAGCCCATTTGATTAATCATGTTGTGTTATAACACCTACAAGGCAGCAGATGGATGATCTGAATGTAGTTATTGTGTATAAAACATTTGAACACTATTTTCCTTTCTTTGGTAATCAGCTTTACTTTGAGCTGCTATCAAAAGCTGGATGCAGAATGTATTTGTTGTGTCATGCTTGTTGTCCATGATCCATTTAATCTCTTAATGTTTGAAGTGAACAAGTAGAAGTTTTCAATTCACATTTATCAGATTGTTTGTTTGTTTACTTGTTCCTGAAGCTCATCTGAAGGGGCCATTGGAGCAGCACATCTCGGGTTTGAGGAAGGTGCGTTTGATCCGGGCCACCAAGAGGGAGGGGTTGGTGCGTGCCCGGTTGCTCGGGGCATCCATTACCACGGGTGATGTGCTGACCTTCCTGGACTGTCACTGCGAGTGTCATGACGGCTGGTTAGAGCCTCTGCTTCACAGGTTAGAAAACCCTCAGCAGGGAAATGGAAGTGTTTTGTCATTGTTGCTTTGTGGTTGGAAAGGCATAACTGAAGTGTAACACTGAAAACCATCCAGTCTGCTAAAGGACAGTTGTTATTTTACTCTCTAAAAGCAAGGGCATAGCGTGGCTTTATAACTACTTTATTCCTGTCAAGAGCTTTCCTCCTCTTTCTACTCCAGGATCAAAGAGGAGCCTTCGGCGGTGGTGTGTCCTGTCATTGATGTGATCGACTGGAACACTTTCCAGTATTTAGGGAACTCTGGTGAACCTCAGATTGGAGGCTTTGATTGGCGGTTGGTCTTTACCTGGCACACTGTCCCAGAATATGAACAGAAACGCCGTCGATCGCCTATTGATGTCATCAGGTGGGTTTTTTGGATGTTGTGAGAAAAAGTCTCATGAATTTTATATCTTGGTTCTGGCAGATCTTGTTCCCCTTGCAGATATGTTTTGTTATGCTGATATTTTCCCACAATAATGACCATTTTATTTGTTGATTGAAAGGGTAGTGTACTTCAGCTTTGTAGGTAAAGTTAATTGAGAGCTGTAGTGAGGGAAATGGGAACTGGATATTTCAGTTTTACACATTTAAAGCTAGGGTGGGTCATTTAAAAAAGTTGCAAACCCTTTTCCAATGAAAGTAGCTAGCAGCATTAGCTCCAAAAGTCACTCAATCTAGCGTCGAAGTGACTAAATGGGCAACATTGACAGCCTGTCTCCTCAGGACATGGATATTGTTGGTACTAACAGCTGTCAAGCCAGCAGATCGTGGCAGATGTGGAAATATTAAAGACATATCTTAAGGTCATTCAATTTGGATTTGCGTAGATACCGGGTTTAAGGATAACTTTAAAGAAAGAGCTGTAGATTATCTCGTATACTGTCAGCTGGCACTAAAGATGATATATCAGTTCTCTCATCCAGCAGAAAAATCCTAATTTATAAGATACAGGGAAATAATCTTGTGATGTGTTTTTACCCTCAGGTCTCCAACTATGGCAGGTGGTCTGTTTGCTGTGAGCAAGAACTACTTCCATTACCTGGGAACATACGACACAGGCATGGAGGTGTGGGGGGGGGAGAACCTGGAGTTCTCCTTCAGGGTAAGAAATAATGTTTCACATGTACGGTATTCTGAATGTTTAAGGGTGTAACTCTAGGTATAAAAAAAGTCACAATTCATATGCTGTCTGCATATTAAAATGAAATATGCACATTTTAATTGACACTAAAACACACAGCAGTAAGAAGGCATCCAGAACTGCATCATGTGACGACTTATAGTTTCCCAAAACATCCTGAAATAATTATATCAACCAGTGTGAACAGGCCAAATATTTGTATAGTTTAATTTCAGTGAAGAATCTGAACATCCTTTTTTTCAGTAGCCGCAATTTCCCAAAGGGAAGTCACCCAAATTCATTTCCCTTCAACAACAAAACAGCTTTTCCGTCTCCAAGTTCCGCCCCAACAAGGCTGTGCTTTGTGTGGAGTGAGTGAATCACGGCTCTGTGGCTAACCAAACCCTCGTGTTGCTGGTGTTTGTGATGTCTCTTAGATTTGGCAGTGTGGAGGCAGCCTGGAGGTCCACCCATGCTCCCATGTGGGCCACGTGTTCCCTAAAAAGGCCCCCTACTCACGCAGCAAAGCTCTGGCAAACAGTGTGAGAGCCGCTGAGGTCTGGATGGATGAATTCAAAGACGTCTACTACCATCGAAACCCCCACGCACGACTGGTGAGTCTGCACAGATGGCGAGTGTTTGTACGTGCAAGTGGAATCAAATACAACTATTGCATTTTCAAGTAAGCGTTAGAGTATAGCAATGACTGAATTGTTTATTTTTCTTTATGGAGAAATGGGAGATGGAGCTGCACTCACCACAAAACTGATGATTTATCACATGATTTCAACACACACATGCACCCCCCCNNGGTGTAGAAGCTCCCCTGATTAAGTGACACTTGGGATACATGAGTGGCAGACACGCCAGGTGACAGGGGTGTCAGGGCGTTCCGGTGTGTGATTACCACCTTTCCGTGTCCCTCCGTGCCAACAGGTGTCACCCACCTGTCCTTGAGGGAGAGCAGCAGCACTAGTGTGTGTGTGTGTGTGTGTGTGTGTGTGTGTGTGTGTGT